ATATGTAAAAGTTCTAGAATCTTACTGCGCTACTAGGTTATTCGGTGAATAACAACTCTCTCTGATGGGTATAAAAATTACCATGCAATTGCGGGATATATTAGACAGAAGAAAAAGGGAACTCCGTCACTGTGAATGAGTATTCACCTCTCCAGCTAGAAAACATGCATGATCGCGGAGGAGCATGAGCCACACGTGATAACGAAGCCCGCCCCCTAAAGTCAATGAAGAGAGTGTAAAACCGCTGTGACTTTGCAGAATGCGGCACAGGAAGGACACCCCCGATGGTCAGCGTGTACCAACATCATCAAGGAAAGACACGGCTGAACATGCGTGTCAAGGAAGCGATGACCATCTGTTCCTGGGGGCAGCGTCAATCGGAACAAGGATACGAAATTTGTGTGAATTGGATGAGACTTCTGACCCCTGTCCCTATAAAACTACTTAACTGGCAGCACATACGAAAAGTTTCTGATTCCAGGCGTATTAACCTTCTGCATTGAAGAGGGCTCGTGGCTCATGAGATACAAGCCGAAATGTCCATATCAATCAACCATCCGATTGACCATATTAATTTTTACGCCATGTGTTAATAAAACTGTTTTACGTTGTTTGCAGTATCCTGGAAATAAAGTGAGATGGGGGATTCATTCCTTCAGTTGTTTGTGGATTTGTCATCATATGCACATCATGTTACAATACTGTCTTGCGGTAGAACATTGCTGACGAATGCCATTTTTTGCGTTAAAAAGCGTTCCTGGCGTCCATGAACCACGAATATTTCGGTTAATTGTTCATTTCAACTAAACGGTTTGATCTTTGCCATTGCACTGGTTGGACTAGAAATGTCGTTAGAAGCACAACAGACATATCAGAATTGCAATATTTATCTTGCAGTCGCTTTTTGATTCCTGCAGTGATAATGTGTATCAGCTACAACAGCAAATTTGGTGCTCTGTCAAGAGGACTGACTTCGTCGTTTATCATTTTGCGCAACTTTCCTTCATAATTGATCAAACTATTGGTGATTACTTTTCGATGTCTTGCGTTAAATGTTATTTGAAGCTTCCTTCGGGCGTAGGTTCACCAGTCACTCTCCTCAGTTCAGACTGCTTATATGTAGTGAAAGGATTTGGTATATGTTTATAACGTTGTTACGAATGATGGCTATAAATGTTTTATCTGGAATGACTTAGGTTAACCTTCCGCTTGTGCATTTCATTCTTATCTCGTTGCTTTTCAGCCGTTTCCGTTGTCACTACCTTCTTGTTCAACCTTCTTTTTCAATGTTGGCTGCCATTTCTGTTATCTTGTTTTAGCATTGGATTATCTACTACAGATTGAGTATCCCAAATCCGAAATTCATGGGACGAAAATTGCTTCGGATTTTCCTGGATTTTTGAATACATCGTATGGTAGAGTTGAATTAAATTAAGAAAAAAATGCAGG